TCGCAAGCTATCTACTTTTAAATACAACACCTCCAAAGTCAAATGGGATAACATTAGTACTTCTTTCAAAGACGAGTTGTCCAAGCGGCTCCCAACTAAATCCTTCGAGGATATGGACTGCTGCAGTCTTGATGACTTCGTCGATGAAATGACCATTGCCATCCAAAAAGCTTGTGACGTGGTTCTGCCCAAATCAAGTGGTTTCTCCCGCCGCGCTCCGTGGTGGAACGACCGGCTAGAGGAGCTGAAGCGCTCGGTTATACAAAACCATCGCCGGCTCAGCAAGGCCGTACGTCGAAAGGAGCCACTGGACGAGATTCTACGGGAGCGTGACAGACTTAAGCGTGCATACTCCGACGCCTTTTGCGCTGCCTCCACGGAGAGTTTCCGTGAGTTTTGCTGCAAACAAAAGAAGGAGGACGTTTGGTCTATCACGAACCGCCTGATAAAAACTCGACCTCTTACGCAGCCCCCTGCTACCTTAAAACTTGAAGATGGGTCTTACACCAGGGATTGTCGAGATACTGCTCAAGCTTTGCTGGATAAATTCTACCCCGACGACACCCCAAATAATACTGAGAATCAGCGCAATCTCTGCGATGATATGGACAAACCTGTTGACACATCCAAGGAGCCCCCATTTACCACCACTGAGATACTAGAATGCATTAATAGCATGAACCACAAGAGGGCCCCTGGTCCTGATCATCTCACCGCGGACATATGTCTGCAGGTTGCCCTTATGTTTCCTAATACCGTCACTGGTTTAATGAACCGCTGCTTAGCCCTTGGACATTTCCCAAAATCTTGGAAGACTGCTGTTGCTAAGATAATACCTAAACCCAATAAAACCAATTACAGTGAACTTTCCTCCTTTCGTCCGATAGGACTTCTGAATGTCTTTGGCAAAGTTTTAGAAAAATTAATTATAAATAGACTAACATTTCATCTAGATAAAACCAATAATACATTGCACAATCAGTTTGGATTTAAAAATCAGACATCCACAACAAAAGCCATACAAAACGCTCTTGAAATTATCCGCGAGGCTAAAACTAGGCAGGAGCAAGTGTTGGCCGTTTCGCTAGACATTAAGGCAGCGTTCGACCATGCTTGGTGGCCTGCAATATTCTCCAGACTACGCGCTACCCAATGTCCATCTAACATTTATGAAATCCTACGCAATTACATGACGGACCGCACTGTGCGGATCAATTTTGCTGACTGCACTGTCGAGAAAAATATGTCTCGGGGGTGCATCCAGGGATCAGTATGTGGACCAAGCTTGTGGAATTTAATATTAGACGAGCTTCTATTATTACCCATGCCCCCAGGATGTCACCTCCAAGCATATGCCGATGACGTCTTGCTTATCGCTCACTCATCTAATACATCGGAACTACAAACGATCACCAACTTCGCTCTGAATGCAATCATCGAATGGGGAAAGAGTGTTAAACTCCAATTCGGCCCTGAAAAAACTCAGATGATTGCGTTCACCAATCGTGCCTCTAAGTGTGTAATCGAAACTCAGGGACAGAGGATCAATTTCGTCAAGAATATAAAATATTTAGGAATCATAATTGACCACAAACTCACATTTACAAAACACGCAGAATATATTATTGACAAAGCCATAAAGCTCTTTAACAAACTGTGCATATATATTAGACCCACATGGGGAATAAGCCCTGACAATGTGAAGGTGATATATTTGCAAGTAATCGAGCCCATAATATGCTACGCCGCCAGCATTTGGTGCAAAGCCATCTCATACCAACACGTCGCAAAGAAATTCATCTCCCTGCAGAGGCTGTTTGCAATAAAGATCATTCAGGGATTCCGTACGGTCAGCACTGCCGCGTCTATTTCCTTAGCGCAATTAACCCCACTGACTGCGAAGATTGCAGCAGTCGCTGACATCGAACGATGTAGACTGACTGGCAAGACTCGCCTTCTTCCAGATGATCACTTCATCGAAACCCCTATCACACCCTGTGAACGTTTACACCCTTCTCTGAGAAAAGGAATCACCTTCAGTGAAATTAATAATTCCGATGAACTCTCTCAAATAAACTGTTATGACACCTGGCAAGTTTATACGGACGGCAGCCGGCACGACGATCGAGTCGGAGCTACTTTCGTTACAATCTCTCCCCGTGGTGATCATAAAACTAAGAAACTCAAACTACACGAGCATTGTTCGGTGTTTCAGGCCGAGATGTCCGCTATGCAGAGGGCTTGTGAATGGATCACTCGAAAGAGCATTCCGAAGACCATCATTTTTTCTGACAGCTAATCGGGACTTATAGAACTTAGCTACCCCAACAATTATAACTTCTTTGCTGACAATAAACACATACTTCTTCGCCAAGCTCAATTATCCGGCCTGCAGATAGAATTCTGCTGGACCAAAGCCCATGTAGGTATTGAGGGCAATGAGGCGGCACATGCCGCCGCCAAGTCTGCAGCCTCAACCCATAGATCCCACGACTACTCTCAAGTACCAATTAGCTATATTAATACCGCAACAAGCTTGAATCCGATAAAGCTGCGGACAATCTGTACTCCAACCCTGAAAGCTGCAAATATACAAAAACTCTACTGCCAACATTTACCGATTTGAATAAATACCTCTCTGTTGTACGCCCTCGCTTTGCTATTACACAATATTTAACAAATCACGGTTACCACCGCGAATACCTTCACCGTTTCAAAATATCACATGCCCCTGCGATCAAACAACCACCCAGTCCCTAAGTCATCTAATAGAAGACTATCCACGATTCACTTATTCTAGAAGCGATCATTCTATCATTGCATCCAACCATCACATCAACTCATTCAAACTCGTCGAAATAATCGACAAAACCGAAACCATAAACTCTTTTCACTCTCATCTAACATACATAATCAAACAACTAAAAAACTTTAATAAATAATTCCAATAAAACTAATTATATATTAAATTAAAATCAAACCCTTAATTGTTTCTTAGGTTTTCACGCACATCACTCATTAAATAAAACTAGTTTTTACGGGTTAATGCACGAAAACTTTATTTATTTATTGACGTTTCGTAGCCTTTACAGGCTACGTAAAAACTAGTTTTATTCAAACCCTTAAAATAATTTAACCACAATCATCCACTAATACCCAATGAAAATCACAAATTTATGACCCAGTGTAAACCGATAGCGCTGGATCATAAAGTTTATCTTTATGATTTTCACAAAAAAAAACCTAACCTAACCCTCTCCTCCGACGTGGAGCATCCGACCAGCACCCGGTTGCTCCTAAGGTTCCTGAGCCTGTTGACCCCGACACCCAGTTTAACGACGTTTATGCCCGTTTTTAACGTTTCTGTAATGTCGTTGCTGGAGTGACGGGGGTCAACAGACTCAACGAACAGGGCGAAAGAGGGCTCAGCTGGTAAGGCCTTCGCCTCGACTTGCAGTCCCGCCTCACCGGGGTCGGACTGAGGAAAAAAAAAGGAGGCTGGGACCAGTGATGTAGGCTCTCTTTTAATTTTCTTGTACTTTTCTCTCACAAAATAAAATCCATAGTCAGCTAGAAAATAGTTTCTCATTTTGTTGCCCCCCTCCCCCCACCTTATTCGACCCGACCGCGGAAGGGTCCGCGGTCCGAGGACCGCGAATCTTTTGGCGGTCGGTGGTCGGCGGTCCTGGGGCTACGGATCTTCGCTTGTCGGCAACGGTCCTCGGGCCGGGGACCGCGGACACTTTCCGCCACCGGTGGCCTACGATCCGGGGACCGCGGATTTTCGCCTCATGGCGGCGGTCCGCGGTACGGGGACCGTGGATATTTTACCGGTGCTGCTGGTTCAATTTCCACTTTCGAGGGGTGAAAATCTCCCCCTGAATGTTACCAGCCCGCCCGATAGAGCTCACCGAGCCGATCCAGAAAACCCCAAACACTGTGTCTCTAGGATCAGTGAAGCCGAAGATATAGCCCTCCAAAGTCTTGGCGGCCATCTTGGATCGCCATTTTGAAAAACTTTGGAGGAATATATCTCCTAAACTACTGGGGCTAGAGACACAGAGTTTTCACGTCCGAGCTGCCCCCCCGCCACCCTCATAACGCCAGAGGGTGAAACAACCCCATTTTTTTGTGTGTAGCTCCATTAGGATTGTGGGTATGGTAGGGTGTTGGGTTTCCTCCCTTGGAGTTAACGCACCGAGGTACGCCTCCAGGGTGGTGGGAGGGTGGGGGGGAAGAGCTGTCCCGGAGTTAACGCCACTGCGCCTCCGGGGTGTGTATGCTTAATTCTATTAATCTATTTCCTAGTTACTCTATGATTTTTGAATGTCCGGAATTGACTTGGATGATTATGTAATGATCCATCGGTGCTCCAAGTCAGTAGTGGCCGTATAAGACACTACTGTCCGGAGCATCGGTGGGCATTGTAGTCTCTGAACCAGTGCACTGAGCGTTGTCAGCGCTAGCGTATGCTAGAGCCGCAAGCCGGCACCGGCAGTCTTGTCAATTTCTGTTTACAGTTTTATTTTATGGGCTATGAGTTTATTTAGTCTTCGGAAAACATTAAGTGAAAATTAATATAAAGTTAAATGGTCGATCATTTAGTGGGTGACCAAAAATTTACTATCTCGATCTTCTTCGTGCTTCGGAAGGCACATTAAGTCGTAGGCCCCTGCGGTCACGGATTATAAAATCCAGGCTATATATGTGAAAAATTTCATCCAAATCCGTTCGGCTGTTTTTGAGTGATTGATTACCAAACATACAAATCTTCCATAAATTATTGCTCTGTATTCTACATTGTAAAGATTTGCCAGGAGTACGACTGGAATTCTTATTAGGTCGAATCAAATTGGCGATATCATTAACAGTATGATATAATGTTTCAATGCTACTCAGGCAGGAGCAAAGTCATCTTTCGGTTTCACCAAAATTTTACTTTTCAACTAATTTATTCGCACAACGGAAGAGTAGAGAAGTAACGACAATGAAACAAAACATGAAATGAACTGTTTTTATTTTCTGAGAAACACCAGCAACTGCAAGATTCTCTCCATCCTTTACTTATTTACAACCAGTACAATCTCACAACAATGAGGTACTCCATATAACGCTAGCAATTAATATTAGCTATTTACAAAACAATAATATCATAATATGTAACAGTTCAATAGAAGTTTAGAGCTCGGAGCTCTCTATTATATCACTGAAGATACACAAGTAGATCAATGCTGATATCGGCGAACGTCTATCGCGTCGCCTATAATTACATTAAAGTGACGGTGCGTACGTCACCGTACTCTTTGGTCGCATTTCACACTCTTGAGCATGTTCACTCCCTCATATATTTACGTAACCGATGCAGTTTTGAGCGCATCGAGCTCGTGGCTCTCCATCGTACACAAAGAATTCACACCGATAATAATCGTTTTACGAATGCGATGAAGCGGTCGAAGGTGAGGTCTAAAAATGTACCCTGGTGAGTCCGTTCCACCTGGCGGCGGCGGGCGGCGGAGTGTCAGTCTGCAGGGAGGTGGAGGTGACCTCTGTAGCCGGCGCGGGGTAGTACACCGTGGGCGCGGGGCACAGCGAGCGCCGCGCGCGACCCGCGCCCGCCCCCGCCCCCGCCCCGCACCCGCTGCCGTTCCCGTTGACCGCATTCCTCGCTGAGCGCGCTTCCGAGCGCCGCAGTGTCCCGTTCCGCGCCAGCCTCAACGACACCCGCTCCCCGCACGAAGCGAACGAGTCGTCCCGCGTGTGCTCCGGAGATTCGCGCGTACCCCGCCGCCATATGCCGCCCGCGCAGAACATCTTCAAGAAGACCCGCTTGAATTTCTCCCCGAATATCACGTAGATGACGAAGTTGACGCTGCTGTTTATCGTCACGAGCAGATTGCTCGTCTTGACGAGCGGATCCAGTTTCTCCAGCTGGTTCTCGAAGAACACCTCGCACGAGTTCGTGACCAGCGGTAGGATGTTGCAGAGGAAGAACACCAACACGACGACGAGCAGCATCGTCGCCAGACTTATCTCCCGTCGCTGCACGCGCGACAGCCGCGCCCGCTCCGCCTGCGCGCGCCGCACCTGCTTCACGATGCACGCGTTGAGCACCGCGAGCGCCGTGAACGGCACTATGTACATCACGATCAGGTACATCCAGTGTATGTACACGGCGATATAAGACTCGGTGCGGAACGCCTCGTTGGGTTTCACGCAGTGGACGAGCTCGCCGTCGTCGACGCTCACGTACGTCTCCGCCTCGAAGAACTTCGGGAAGTTGTAGAGGAACGCGAAAACGGCCGTCCCGAAGACGTAGAGGCGCGCGCGGGACGACGTGCACAGCGCCTTCGCTCGGAACGGGTGACAGACGGCGACCCAGCGCTCGACGGTGACGATGAGCGTCAGGTACACGGACATGGTCTGGGCCGCGTTGGCGATGGGGTATGCGTAGGGCGTGATGTGGGGGCACACGTGGTAGTAGTAGTAGCGCAGGCGGCCCGTGTACGGGTACACGGCGGTGAGGCCGAACAGAAGCACGGAGGTGAGGATGAGCACGGTGTCGCAGGCGGCGAGCCCCACCAGCAGGCAGTTGACGGAGGAGCGCATCTGGGGCCGCGACAGCACGAGCACGGCCAGCGCGTTGCCGAGCAGCCCGCCCGCGCCGATGCAGTTGAGCAGCACGCCGTTGAGCACGAACCGGTACAGCTCGTCGGCCGGCGCCACGCCCCAGTCGGACTCGCAGCCGTGCGTCACGTTCATGCTGCGGCCGCCCAGCGCGCACCGTCCCACTCCTCCCGTCCCCGCCCGACCCTCATAGCTGGCTCCCGCTAACGGTCCCTCGCCCGCGACGCACTCACCACTCTTCACTTGACTTCCGCTCCTCCTGAAACGATATTAACCTTGTTTAAAGTACACAGGCAAATTAAACTAGTACTAGCATAGTCGAGCCGACCGACGTTATCCTACCATATACATAGTGATATAAATGAAAGTCTAAAATCTGATTGCAGCGCCATCTATCGTGTTGAGTGATCGAGTGTAGTCTTTTCTTATTTAATATTACTCGATAACTTATTCGTTTACGTGGTTGGAAAAACATTTTGAACCATATAAAAGATCGTTTTTGTGTTACATTATTAAACTATTACTACAATAAAGCGAGGAACGAACTGCAGAACTGAATACTCTATCAGTTTTAGAAGCATGCGTTCGATATCATTACGAACAACGATAACTTGTATCCATAGATATAGGATGTACTTGTATCTGATTTTAAACAACAATATGTTGTCATGTCATGATTTTCGGTCCCTTACAATCAGAAGAATAAATATTATTATTTTATTTATTTTTTAAGCATTTAACTGCTAGATGTTTATGTTAGTATTCATTTGACATCGTAGGTAACCACAATGCGAAGAGATGGCGCTGCCTCGCAGCTTAAGGCTAGGAAAATTTCGACGCGGCTAATAGGGCCGTGGTAGCATAATGGTCAGTGCATTCGCCCGGATAGCGAAGGATGCGGGTTCCAGTCCCGTCCGCTGCCTTTTTTTCTAGTAAACTTTTCTTTAGAATAAATATTTATTCTATAAAGCAAATGTGATTTGTAGGAGGACAAAATAACTTCATCCGAAAAAAATGATTTCTCATTTCTAAACACTCTTTTTTTGGTGCCGATGTTTGCTAAAAAAAACGACAACAATCGTAGAAGCATTGCAAACTTCTTTCCTAATACACAGATCTTTAATGAAGAAGAATTTAGTCGATGCTTTTAATCCGTCACGAATGTGTCATAAGTCTATAATGTCAAGAATAATAAAATACAGCTAATCGTAAATCCTCAAAATATATTAAGTATGGGTTACTAAATTTATATATTTCAATTTGTCATAATTACGAGTGTTTCGAGTGTTTGCTAGCATCGACAATGCGAGATTTAGTGGTAATAGTGTCGACAATGTTGGCGGTGGCGGCAGGAGACCGGGAGAGGATTCGGTATGGGTTCTACCGCGGGAGCGGCGCGGGGGAGATCGGTACGTCGGGCGCTGAGACGGAACTCTATACGCGACGCGTGTTTGGCGGAGAGGCAGCTGAGCTGGACATGTTCCCGGCCGTCTGTGCACTACTAGATCGGTAACTTTATTAGGCTTTGTAATTTTTATTTTTTAAGCATGCAACTCGATGAGGAGCTCGATGGCGCAACTGGTTAGCGCGTTCGGCTGCGATCGTTGAAGTTAAGCAACTTTCGCAGTGGTCGGTCATTTTTTTTTCCAACACACACCAATAGGGATGATGACTAATTTTTTTTCTTCGTTTATCGGGTAGATTATCAAAAAGTATTGGACACGTATTTTTTCTTTTTTCACATAATATAAGCATTGCAGAGATATATTGATTTGAAAAGTCGCATGACGTCACGTTTGAGTACACTTATAAGGGAAAATTCACTCAAAAGTGATGTCACGAGCCCCTACTCCCAAACTTTGACGCGCTATAACTTTGTCATTTTTTGGTTGATTGCCCAAAGAAAAAATACGTGTCCATTATTTTTTGATCGTCTAACTGACGGACTAAATAGAATTTCGTTTACTGTACCCCGTCATCACCCCTATTAGCCTAGCTCCAAAGTAAGCACTGTAAGGCTTGTGTTACGGGTTACTAGGGTAACGGATAGAATACATATACTGTACATATATAATTAAATTTATATAGAAATACATATTAAACATCCATGACTGGAATACAAATGCTCGTATTCATCACACAAGCATCTGCCCCCACCGGGATTCGAACCCGGGACCTCTCGAGTCGGCGACACCATGAAACCCGGCGTACAAGCCACTCCGCCACGGAGGTCGTCAATAGATTGATGACCAAAAATTTACTATCTCGAGCTCCTCCGTGCTTCGGAAGGCACGTTAAGCCGTTGGTCTCGGTTGCATCTGCAGCCGTTAGCACCCACCATTCCGCACTGGGCCCGCGTGGTGGGTCATGGCCCAATCTCCCTATTCCATCCATAGGGAAGGCCTGTGCCCCAGCAGTGGGGACATTAATAGGCTGATGATGATGAAGCATGTAACAGCTCGATGTTTAAAACTAAAGAAAATAAATAAATCATCATTAAACATTGTGGGTTATCTACAATGCGAGAAGATGGCGCTGCCTTGCAGCATAGGAAAGACTAGAAAGAATTCGACATGGCCACCAGAGGCGCGGTAGCATAATGGTCAGTGCATTTGCCCGGATAGCGAAGGGTGCGGGTTCGAGTCCCGTCCGCTGCCTGGTCCGCGTGGATTTTTTTCTAGTAATATTTTCTTTATTAGACTTTTACCCTCAGTCTATTAAAACCCGCAGTGCTGAGGGACGACCTAAGGGCGCTTGTTAACGAATGGTTTTCCGCCGTGTCTAGGCACGGTTTCTACCCGTACCGGTAAATAAATAAAGCTTAAGAAAAGTTTTACTAGAAAAAAAAAACACGCTGATCAGCGGACGGGACTCGAACCCGCACCCAATCCGGGCGAATGCACTGACCAATTATGCTACCACGGCCGTGATGGCCGCTTCGAAATTTTCCTAGCCTTAAGCTGCAAGGCAGCGCCATCTCTTCGCATTATAAGTAACAACAAAATAAAAAAAAATAAAAACATAACTAAATAAAGATTGTTCGTGAGCATCAAACCGTGCTCACGAACAATTTTTATTTAGTTATGTTTTTATTTACGTTTGTACGGACCCCAAAACGTGCTAGCGCCGGTGTCGTGGTGTCGTAAACAAACCACCTTAATGTCCCATATATATCTAACTGACGACCTGACAGAGATACGGTTTAAAACCATACCTAGACCCTGGTAGAAATCGTTTCGTTAACTCCATTTATAACATTGCCTACGTCCTTGGTAGGCGTTGATTTGTTCGCTGCGTCATTGATTGCATTTAGGAGGGCTTTGCTATCGAGCATTGATTATAATTTAGTTTTATGTAAGTTTTTTTTTTATACCTAGTTTAGTTTTTATCATTAATTTTGACAGAAATAAGAGTTGTGTGTGCCTGTAACTGTTTTTGCGCAAGTTTATGTAGAACGTATGTTTTTTTTTAAATTATGTTGGGTGTAAAAATGTTGGCATGCCTGATAAATAAAATTAAAAAAAAAAAAAATAGAGACAACGAGCCATAACCCATCACGTTGGTTTAGCGCAGATTGGTTATACCTCGTCCTTAAATTCTTTCTGTAAAATCAGGGAACTGAAGATAATAAATATTTGGTTACCCATCTGAATTTGCCATTACGGATATACTGTTTTTTTTGGCCCAGGAGTAGTAACATCACAATTCTGTTGGTTTTTAATGTTTTTTTTCTTAACAACTATCAGCGCCCTGGTGTGGAGATTTTGCATAGAGACTTCACTAACACAGATCTTTTTACCAAAAAATGGGTAAGTGTTAATAATAAAACCCACGGCATCACTTTTCAGTCGTATGTACTATAAAATATATTTTTTCATACAAATTGTTTGTTTTGAATCTTATTCGATAGTGACGTCGAGTACTAGTCGCGTGATTGGTCGGTAGTGCAGTGACGCGGATCTCGCCGTCTCGTTCGCGCTGCCGTTGAAACTTAACGTGCTGTTTCGTTCGGGTCGGTAATGCAGTGACGCGGATCTCGCCGTCCCGTTCGGTGGGATCAGTTTTTGTTTGATGCAAGTATGAGCGCACCGTATCTACCCTTTTTGTTTTAATCTAAGGTTTCACGTAGTTTCTCCTCTATCAGTTACTGGAGTACCCGTTGTTCTTGCGCGGTGGTGTCCACGCGTTGGGCCCTCACAGCGGCGCACTGCGTGTCCCCGCGCATCGCCTACGTGAAGTACAACGCGCGCCGCCCCTCCTCGCCCGACGGTGACGTGGCGCCTGTGCACTACCTCTACCGCCACCCTGGGTACGTGGATTTTTTTGGAAATTGCGTAACGCACGTCCCCCCATGGGGCAATGCCGACTAGGGATGCAAACGATACATCGATGTTTGTAAAACATCGAGGTATCGGTCATAAAAATCGATGTTTTGATGAGCGATATATCGTCGATACATCGTTCACTACATTTACAGACATCGACATCGTTATTGTCTGTTTTAGATTTTCGGTATCACTGTGACGTTCGCTCGCGTTGCATTGTTGTGCGTAGATGAATTTGATTAAATATAATTTGATCCTTTCTTGAAACTGACAGTTTATATTAATTTGTTTATTTGCCTATTTGAATGATGAGAATCATTTTGTTATAATTTAATTTACCATCATGTAATTCTTATTTTTACTAACCTGCTTTAAGCATCGAGCATACTTATACCGAATAGAGCGGTATAGTTATTTGTTTCAATAAAGGATCCTATTAAAAATAAAAAGCATCGGCAAAAACTATTGTGTCAGTTTCTACACAAGTCAACTGTGGATAAAGTACAGCAGGAGGTCGTATAGTACCATCAGGGTTCAATATAATGATATTTTTCGTATTCTGATGGGTCTGCCGAGATTTTGCAGTGCTTCTACAATGTTCGCGGAGGCTGGGGTATCGGACTTCTATGCTGTTATTAGGGCGCGCATAGCATCTTTTTGGGAGGGACTGCGTTGTTCTGGTAACCGCATACTAAAATGTTTGTACGCGGATTTTAACAATCCAATTTATAGATATTGGCTATCTGTGCGCACGGATGGGAATCGCAAATAGAAGATTGACGTTGTATTATAATAATGTAAAAAATGTATTTTTAATTAGTTTTTATATTGTATCATGTTTTAAATATGGGTCTTAGCTACCTGCAATAAATGATTTTATTATTAAAAACATCGATATATCGCTCTTATCAACGATATTTTTGAACATCGATGTTTTTCATGCAAACATCGAAGTTTTAAAATATCGATGTTTTTCAGAACGATGTTGCACCCCTCATGCTGTCGCGGTATATTGGACTCCTTCACCCTTTCCAGTCAACCCAAAGGACTGATTTAACGTCTTCTCTGAGAATATGGGTGTACTCATTACAGAACCAACAATGGTACGTTAGCATAGTCCCGTCGAGTGAGTGAACGCCAGATGTCGAACCATTGTCCGACGGGGCAACGGCATTCTGTCGGATACTTCAGCGACCCCACCAGCGTGGGGTGGACTTGCATGCATATATATATCATTATATGTATAGATAATATTGCGATAACGGTTGTTAGGGCAGCAACGAATGATGCTATGATAACGGTTACAAGGGTCGTTAAGTGTAAGCATATTATGTCGATATTATACTTAATAGACACACCATAACATGTAGGTATAATACTCCTTGATAGGTAATGAAACTGGAGGCTAATTAGCTATATTGCGGTGTCTTTCTGAAAAACGTATTCTCTACCTTACGAAAGTCATATTTTTTTTTTGAGTGTGTATGCTGTTGGTCGCAGATGACCTTTACAGCGTCACCGGGTTTGGGGATGGCGAGATCCTAAGGGGACCTGAAGCCGAGAATTGGCGAGTGCCTCTAGAGGTATTCCAGTAGGATGGCGTCTCCCCACGGAAGGAGTCTCCTTTCCGTCTGGAGCCTCCAGACCACTCGAACCTGAGGGGGTCGGCTCAACTAGAGGGCGTCTCTGAGACTCGGACCTCAGCTCTAGTTAGCCGTTGTCGTGGGGGGCGGGGAAAAACGCCCAGGTACGTACCTGTACCTGGTATAGCGTGTAGTGTGTAGACCAGGTCTTCGCACTCTTATCCTACGGGTGCGGTGTCTGCCTAATGCTAAGCTAGTGTGCACGTTTGCTAGCTGTGTAGTGTTGGTGTTTGTGGCCTGTGTGGGAGGAATCGGAGGCGCGTTGGCGCGTGTGATTTCGTCGTCGAGGTAGTCTAAGACGTGCCTAGGCCGACGGAATAAGCCTCTTGGGGTAGGGGGGATGTGGTCAGGGTAGGCGACGTCTGTAGTAGCTACAAAATATATTTTTTGACAACAGGTACAAGGTGATACAGGAGGATGAGGGTCGCGGTATGGATGTCACCCTGCTGCACCACGACGTGGGTCTGGTGCGCACTCGCGTCGACATGGTGCTCAACAGCCAGCCCAAGACTGACCCACTGCATGCCATGCGCCTCTACAACCCCGTCGATCTCAAGAACGAACGCGTCAAGGTAGGACTGCAGCAGCCTTGTATAAAAATTCGTGATCCTATAATGTGTTTAAGGAGAAAATTATGGAAAAACGGAGGTATTTGTGGAAATGTGCTGCGTAATGCATGAGCTCCGTGCTCCGTGCATCTGTGAGCTTAATGCAGCGTATGCCCTAAAGGGTTAACTCCCTTTTGGCTGACCAATTCGGAACAGTTGTTGGTCGATGTAGAAAGCAAGGTCAACCAACAAAAATGATACATTTTATTTTTATATCTGTGTTCGTGTCATGTCTTCATGCCTAACCGCTAAAGCGATTTTGATGTATATTGGTAAAGGCCGCCTCTTATTACATAAACCTTTTTTTTTGTGTCTGGAAAATGCCTTACGCATCCTTCAACCACTGGGGGAGCGAGAAGAAGGTATGTGGGACTCCCCCCTGTCCTCTTCATTCAGCCCTGGAGCTCGCCGATGTGAACAGGGCTCTACCTACGCCCTGAACAGGGCCCCTAAAAACCAGACAATACTCCTGCACCGTCACCCGACACGCACTATGAGGACCGCGGTCCCCCTAGTGCGTGCCGAGAGGGCGGGTGTGGTCGCGGAACCCGTCTCCGAATGGTCGAGCATCCGCCAGGTGTTATCGCATAAACCTAGTCGCGCTCGCTGCTAACTTCACAGCCGGCATATAATCTGAATCGCACTGTAAAGGTATTAGGGTTCGGGCGCACGGAGCGGTTGCTGCTTGGCGAGGAGTTGTTCGTGGTACAGCTGCAGCTGGTGTTCTGCGAGCGTGGCGCGTGGTTCCACTGCGTGTGCGGCGTGGCCACCGGCCGGGACCCGCGCGGCGTCTGCTCCGGCGACTCGGGCGGGCCCGTCATACACAACGGCGCGCAGGTAACTCTAACGAACTCATTGTAATCTGTCACCGTTGTTTATTAGATATAATAATAATAATAATCTTTATTTGTTCTTCCACAATCTACAAATTACATGACAACTATAATTTTATATCAGAACAATAAAATAGATTGTGAGAGACTGGTGCATGATAGTTCATTCTGCTTAGTGGCAGAAAGCCTGTATCTCGGAGCACCAGGACTCTCCGTCCCCTGGAGAATGCACAATTAGAAAATTATAGGGTCATCTTACATTTGAATTGTAGGTATAGGACGTGAAGAACACATTTTATTACAATTGTGACACGATTGCCTTAAAATAAAAATAAAACACCAACAAAGCTTTGACCAGACCAAACAAAGATACTTGTGATGTTAAGGAATTTCCTTTGTCAGAAATATATAGCAACGGCGTAGCCTATTGATTAGGTAGTATACCCACGTTAATAAAAAAAATTGTTTAGATTTTAAAGATGACCAGTCCTATTCTCCAAGTAGTCCTAGCGACTATGCGTTATATGCTGCTATGGCATTTAATACAGTGTTTGTATCTGTTACCTAAGCAATCTTCGTAAGCTCGCTCTTTGATTATGCAAAATTAAGACCTTTTCCAATCTTCATTTAACTGAATTGCATTCTTTAGGTAGGTGTAACGTCAATGGGTCCGATGGAGTGCATGGCGATCAGCGGGCCGGCTATAATCACCGGCGGCGGTGGAAACGCGACGGTCGAACCGCCGGCTTCGCTGCAAGCGCCCGCGTCCGGCGCCACCAGCGTGTTCACGTCGCTGTACAACTACGCGGACCTGATCAACGCGACGATACACGACACGGAGCGGGCGCTGCGCATGCGAATGATTTCCGCCGCCGCGCGGCCGTACGACACTCGTGCGGTTCCAACACTCGCCATGCTCGCCTCACGCGTAGCGTTCCTTCTAATGCCCGAGCGGTGAAATTATTTTATTTAAATTCTGTAGCCTTCATTATACTGGTTGTTGATGAGATCTCTTTTGATTATCTTTACTATATCATTTAGATCTTTATACATCGGTGGTCACGGCAGTGCCCCGCCAAGTCGAGCGCGAAGCAAACCATTCCGAACGCATAAATACTGAAATATTGATAGAAGGAAATTCGCACCAAAAACATTATGTAAAAAACTAGCCAAGTCTCGATGGAGCTGCTTGTTTATCTCTAAAAAGTAATGAAATCTAGACAAAGTCGCGCCAAGTTTAAGGTTCCTTACTGCGATTTCTTTATTATTATAGTTAATGTTGTATGACTTGGCCGTTGAAAGCTACACAAGGGTACAAAACCAGGTGCTACATGACACCATTGCACCGATGCATTCATACGTGCAACATTACGAGTAAACGCAACTTTATCAAGCCATCAATTGACTGGTTATTCTAACAGCGTTTTCCAAGTGGCAATTTTCCATCGTCAATGGGTAGCGCTTCTGACGACAGATTGGTGCAATTTTGTCATGTAGCACCTGGTTTTGTACCCTTGTGTACCCTTCAACGGCCAAGTCACACAACATTAACTATAATAATAAAAACATCGCAGTAAGGAAGCTTAGACTTGTCACGACTTTGTCTAGATTTCATTACTTTTTAGAGATAAACAAGCAGCTCCATCGAGACTTGGCTAGTTTTTTACAGAATCTTTTTGGTGGGATTTTCCTTTTACCAATATTTCAGTACTTATGCATTGAGAAGGTTCACGGTTCAGCTCTAAAGCTCATCAATCATAATGAGTATAAAACCTTTGGTATACCTACTTTACTCTTTGGTATAAAAGCGATTATTTGAAAGCCTACTAGTACGAGCCCTTTTGCATGTAAAGCTTTATTATATGAAGAGTTAATGATGGAATAAGCTCCTGATTATATCAGAACCGAATAACGGTTTTCTTTGATAATCGACTGCTTTCGCTATCAGGCATAATTAAAAAGATCAAATAAACAAAGGGTGTGATATAAATCAATCAAATAGAAAAAAAAATGATTTTAATGATCTTTTACTTAAAAGGGGATTCGCAAATTTTTCTTGTTAACTAGCAGACCTAACAGACGTTGTCCCCTCCAACAAAAATGTAAATGAATCTTAAAACCAAATTGCGGCGCCACCTCACGGGTTGACTTGTAAGTTAAGTTTTTTTTCTGTGCAAATTAGAAATAAAATATGGGAGAAATCGTTTCAGCAATTCTCAAGTTGAGGCCCTTTTACATTAGGCTCAATTCAGATTACTAAACGAACACGACGCTAAATGTAGACAAGTATGAAGACTAATTATACAATCAGAGTCGTTACCGCCGAATTGAAACAGTTTTTTTTTATTTATAAATCACTAAAAATACAGGTATACAAAAAACAAATTATTTCGCCAAACTGAAAAGTCAGTTTATTGGCGAATAATACGCTCTTTACATTATTTTTTTCTATATGCATATATATATATATATATATATATATATATACCACCACCAATATACAAATACTATACAAAATTTGGCATACAGATAAACCATTATTATCTGGTTAAAAGTAAGTATCCTATGCGCTGGTTCGCACATAGGATACTACTCTTAACCAAAGTCGTCTACAACACAATTATCCAAAATATCTTTTTTTAATTTTCTTTTAAATATATGTTTACTTCTACATTTTTCCATTGTTGGGCTTATGTTGTTAAATATTTTTGGTATTATATATTTCCGAGTTCTTTGGCCAAAATAGTTATTAGCAATATGCTCAACATATCTTTTTTGTGTCGTTTCCCTTAGTTGATGTGTTGGTATTTGACATTTTTTTAAATTTATCACAGCCATATTCATTTTAAGACATTACATATATAACTTATTCATGGACTAGTAGAATTTGTAACTTTTTAAACAATATTTTATAGTTTTTTTTTATTACAGCTTTTCTTAGTTAGAATGCTGTACAGTGAGAAAAATACTATAATAATATAATATGTGTGCGCCAGCTGCCATTTCTTTTACCACGGGACAGCAAATGATATACAATAATTCCAATATCCTCCCTTAGTTCAATGTTTTGTAACTTCACAAGTTGTTTGGGTACATCAAAGTTGCTTTCGAAGAGATTTTCTTTTTCGAGTAGTTCGACCTAACGTCCTACACAAACAGACGCGTGGAGCATTGTGGGGTGTGGAGGGGGGAGACACATGAGTACAGAAGGCATAGAGGCAAAGCTTCATATAGTTGCGCGTGTGTGAGTGAACATTGGTGCCTGTCGCGTACGCAGAAGAACGGTTCTACGGCGAAGAAAACGCAAAGCCAATGAGGGCTACCGTTTTCTGCCTCACCAGATGGCGCCACTGTTGAGTGAGGTCCTAAATTGTAACTTTTAAAGTTTATTAATACGCACATGAAATCAAAGGTTACATTTAGATCGTATTTTTAACACAAAAGAACCATATCCTAAACATAATAGGCCACGCCACAGTGACGCCCAGTTCCGTTTTATTCGGAAAAAATGGGAACATAATCATTTTTCTAAGCTCAAATTTGTAATAACTGACATTCATTGCCACATAACTCATATTTGCCATAATTAAGCCGAATTGTTACCAATTATTCACAACATTATTTTAATTAGAAATAAACCCGCGTAGTCAACCAACAAGGAATAACATTTGACATTTCGGAGACTTTACGCTACACTAGCGCCTCTAGCGGCGGATTCATACGCGATAGCCCTCATTAATTACAAATGGCGTTTGAGCCGTATGACCTATAAAAATCGATCTGTCGCTTTTTACAAGCATTCTCGCTCCGACCGCGGACCGTGCGCCACGTCGCACCGCCGCCTCCCTGCTCCGTGCGCCCCGCCGCACAGCTGCCTGCTCCGAGTCGACTCGACGCGCCTGCGCTCATTCGTGAGACCCAAGATTGGACCAGTGGATACCTAGCGGTGTTAACGAAACTGGTCGGCGTAGCCCCGGTACGTCTCGAGCTCTCCTGAGCTCGGAAACCGGAAGACCCGATCCCATTTGCACTTGGGCCTTCCCAAGGGTGACGGTTGTTCCCATATTCACTAGGAATATCGGAACACATCTCTTACAGCTTCAACCGACCCCCTGCCGCGGGCAGGGGAGTCCATCGGTGTCGCATAGGGTGTTAGGACCTGTGGCTTCACGCCACAGTCAGGGCACACCTACACACTACAACCTACACAACCTACACATACCTACACACAAACACATCACAATGGACATCACTCAACAAGTACTGTCCCTCTTCTCCGCCCTCGGCCTCACCCTGGATGAGGCCGCCATCAGGGAGCTCGTCGCGAGAGCGCGCCCCATGCGCGACTCGCCCGCCAGCCCCTCCCCCGAACCCCCCCGCCCCGACACCCCCTGCCTCCCCGGGCCCTCGAGCGCGGGCAAGCGCCCCGCCTCGAGCCCGGTCTCGACCTGCGACTCTGACTCGACCATTGTGTCGGCGTCAGACGACTCCGTGTTCACCACTGTGGTGAGCAAGAAGAAGCGGCGCTCCAAGCGCCGCGCAGACACCGCGTCTCCAACGGCGCCCTCTGTCCCTCTCAGCCCTCTCACCCCTCTCACGGTCGCCCAACCGACCGCACAACCCCACACTACACAATCCACAAAAACACACACTAGGTGCACCGCCGCACCTATTAAGGCAAAGCCGCCGCCGCCCGTCTTCCTGCGCGATAAGGCGCAATGGGCAAAGGTCGCGGACCTTTGCAAAACACACAGCATTCACTACACACAGGCGTCGAACACTGGTCACGCCATCAAAATCACTACACCCACCATTGACACGTTCAGGAGCCTCACAAGGCTTCTGACCACAAACAAACTCCCTTACCACACATACGCCCTCCCCGAGGAGCGCAAAGTCCGCGCGGTACTCAGAGGAGTCCCCTTCGAGCTCTCCAACGAGCTCATTCTGAACGACTTAACCGATAAAGGCTTCCCAGCCGAGGCAGTGCACAAGTTGCACAGCCGGACTGGGAAGCAATACCCGTTGGCTCTTGTCATTCTGACCTCGGTCCCGGCAGCTAGGGATATCTTTAAAGGTCCCATCACAGTCTGTGGCCTCGACAATATCAAAGTCGAGGCCCCACACCGGCGAGGCACCCCTGGGCAATGCCACAGGTGCCAATTATATGGCCACGCAGCAGCCAACTGCTCGGCGGCCCCGAGGTGCGTCAAGTGCCTCGTGCCCCACCTCACTAAGGAGTGCACCCGCACTCGTGACGCACCCGGGGCACCCGCATGCGTGCTGTGTGGCCAAGAAGGCCACCCGGCCAATTACAGGGGTTGCCCGCGGGCCCCACGCCCCAGGCCCAACACTCACACTCACACAAAGCCAACCACGGCTACAAAAACACACCCACCACCACCTAACACCACCACAAACTTCCCGGGGCTACCCAAGGCGGCCGCCCCTCGCAGCCCGGCGCCCCCGACAGCCTGGGGACCAGCCAGGGCCCGCCCAAAACCACACCCACCACAACACACCACACCAACAACACAAGCTAAGCCAGCCCAAGACGTTTCTCTGGCCGAGGACATGGCGCTTATTCGCTCCTCGCTCAAGAGGGTGAATATCGCCGAGATCCACACTCTCGCCGCGAAGCTCCGGCTAGCTAAAACACCACTTGAAAAGGCTATAGCTATAGCCGAACACCCCGAACTCGTTGCCGCGTTCGATTAATTTTTTTTTCATTATAACACTGGAAAATAACCAGACTCCGAACACAAACAAAAACACTATACACAAAACACGCGGTGATAACTCAAACAAACACCACTGTTGTTTAAATTATGACCGCGCAAAACACTAACATAACAATCACACAACTGAACCCCGGGCGTACCAAGCCGAAAGGCGCTTCGCTTGTGTCATTTAATACGCGCAGCTTAAAATCCAACCTCAACGAAATTAAATTATTTTTGCAAGATAGGGAACCCGACTTTCTGCTCCTTCAGGAGACTTGGCTCAAAC